TGTCCACGCTGTCAAACGCCTTTTCATAGTCAATGAAGTTGACCACGAGTGGTGAATTCCATTCAAGCGATTGCTCAATAATGATACGTAATGATCTGGTCCACACATGATCGATTTTTGCGGAATCCTGCCTGGTTTCCTCGAAGCTTCTCATCCGTTGCCAGCTTGATTCTCTCCAGGAGTATCCTGTTGAAGACTTTCCCCGGTATGGAAAGGAGTGTTATGCCTCTGTTTTTTTACTCAGGTGCCCATAAAATATACAAGAATATGATTCAGTCAAGAATTGTCACAAGGGGTTACGTGGACACATTTTCAAAGTTCGGAAACTACTTTTTGTTTTTTCTGGTAGGATGGTTTTTCCTGTAAATCGAAGCTCTCAGATGTTTTCACTCTGCCATAAGCTATTTCATATTTTACTGGGGACTACTTCCGTTTTGGTTTGTGCTTCGTCGTGTGTGAGAGACAGCTGCTTCTACTATTATATTTCCAGATCTAGAAAATCGATATCCAACTCTCATAGGATGTTTGTGTTTCGCAGTGTCGATGGATACTGCAGGCCTAACTCCATTCTATTGACCTTTTGTATATACATTTGGTGTAGTCATATCCCCAATCCGTTGAGTTCGTTTAGACTCACAAAATGTTTACTTCGTTGTATTGGCGTGTATTTGGTGCGTAGTATTTTTTAATTTTTTTTTTTGTATTTATAAAACAATAAAACAAGACTCTTGATCTAGGTCTCTCTATATCCTAGATGTATTTGGAGCTCAGCAGAAATCAAGACTGATTCGGAGTAGCAAAAACAGAAGTGCGGTTTGTGCTTTGTCGTGTTTGTGCCAAAGAGTTCTACTTCGTGTTTACAAAGCTGCTTCTACTGTTTAGAGATCTAGAATCTCGATACCTAACTCTGGATGTGCACATCGCAGTGTCGATGGATCAAATTCATTGTATCAACTTTTTCTAGATATTATACCTGTTGTAGTGATGTCCCCAACACGTTGAGTTCGTTTAAACCCACAAAAGTACACTTCGTTGTATTGACGTTTTCCAAATTTGGAAAGTAATTTTTACAGGGCAAGGTATTAGATGTATATCCTAGATGTATTTGGAGCACAGAGTTCAAGATCATTCATAATATTTATAATGCAATAAAGACGAACAGATTTTATGCAGTCTTCAGTTTTCTCAATGCTGATATATTTTCCAGTTCATAAAACTGGGATCTTGCTAGTAATAATAGGACGGCACATCCGAAAAGCGCCAAAACATAGCCCACAGCAGGCAGTCCAAAATATAAACGCGCTATTCTACGCCCAAATTATAAGAGTCCCGAGAAATCCAGCGGAGTGCTCAAGTGAAATGTGATTGGTTCATTGTCTTGATTCTATTTTAAGTGACTCTGTGATCGTGAACTTCAGGGAGGTGAACGTGACATACTTAAGTCACCGTCCTATGAGTTTTGCCTATGAATTGTTTTGTAGTTGCGAGGTAAAAGTTATTACTTGAGCGTTCAGTTCCAATGCACGATGAACGACATTGATGTTTAGCTAACAAACAGATTTAGTTCTAGAAATAAAAGCGACAAATAAAAAGAATGAAAATAAAAGTATGAGATTCTCCCTCACCAACCCATATCCTGAAAGTATACACCATCTCATTTACTATGCCCTTGACTATCTTCAGCCTAAGATAGCTTAATTGTGCACACCCACTTTTTAGCCCCACTAGCCACCCTGCACGAAAGGGCAGCAGTAAAAAACAACAACCACATCAGCACTTACTGACACTATAACTAAGAATTAACAATAAATGAGTCTTGAGCAATCGCTTCAAAGTTTTAGTTTTAGGTTTGATATTTCTCTGAGACCCTGGGACAAGGAGTTCCAGATTTTAGGGCCCAAAAATGAGAAACGTTTCTCACCAAAAGAATGTAATTTCATTCTAGGGTCTCTGAATTTTGTTGCATCTATGGATGACCGTAACTGACGATATGGGACATACAGTGTTAAAAGCTCAGATAGATATGATGGGGCTTTATCGTAAAGACATTTATAACAGATGGTAGAAACTTTATACTGGATTCTTTTATAAACTGGAAGCCATTGCAGTGCTTGTAACTTTTTTGATGCAGGATCTTTTTCTTCAGCACTGGTCTTGCGATATTATTTTCGGCCACTTGCAGTTTCCTCATTCGTTCACACGAAATACAAAACAGAACAGAATTACAGTAGTCAAATTTTGACAAGACAAGAGAGACAGAGAGCATGCATGCAACATCGGGTAATATCAGGTGCCTTGTCTAACTAATTGTTTTGAGATCAAGGTACATACATCTAATAAAATGATTTACTTGGCTGTCCAAGGACATATCTGAATCTAAAAAGACGCCTAGGTACTTGGCCTTGTTGGAAATTTTCTAACTGGCTTCTATTAACATCACTAATGTTTTTTTAACTCCCAGTATAGAATGGTTTATGTTTTTTTCTTGATTCAGCATTAATTTGTTATTCCAGATCCAATTCTTTACTCTTTCTATGAATCCAACAGTGTCGCATGGATGACTCTAGCAAAACTGAACTCATCAGAGAATGGCGAACAATGATGGCGTGGAGGTGGATTGGGAGGGGAGGGAGGGGGATGGAGGGAATAGGAGGGGGGACGGGAGAGGGTGAATGTGGGGTATTGGAGGG